GCAATCTTCCCAGTTTGCATTTGAATGAGGACTGATGTAGCAGCTCTCTGAAGGCCTTGGTATAGCTGCAATGGTGCTTTTGAGGGTTCTTTCCATAAACGACAGACGGAGTTCCCATGGGGGGAAGCAGCCCATTCAGTCTTCCATGCATTTGCTGCTTCTATGCGGAGGATTCTTCAAATGCTGGCCATGAGAGTGAGCTCTTCCGCGCCATTGGGTGCTGGGGAATTAGCAGCTTCTTTTGCAAGAGCATCAGCACACTCATTGCCATAGATGCCTTCATGACCTGGGAGCCAATACAGTTGTATATCCCAGCCACATTCCTGTAGTTGAGATGCAGTGCATGCAATATCACTCAGGATATATTGGCCAGAAGACCTTCCTGGAGCTGAGCATGCCTGTATTGCTGCCTGGTTGTCTGTGAAGATGGTTGCTGTACGGGTCTGATAGGAACATTGTGATTCCAGTCCACTTGGGTTGCGTATTTGGGTAAGCACCATCTTTATGCCCTGTAATTCTGCTGCATATACAGTGTGGGTAGCTTGAGAGCCAATGTGAACTGCTTGGCACCCCAGAGGCAAAACTACTGCTGCTCCAACTCCCTGTTCTGTCAAGCTGCCATCTGTGTACACAATGATATCAGCTCTGCTGTGTAAGATGGCATTGTGAGTTGCAAGAGCAGCTTCCTGAGTTTCTGCTATATGGGGTTTCAGGCCTGCCCACCAAGGCAGGGTCACATGTGGGTGTATAATCTCCAGCTTGTCCTGAGAAATTGCGGTTCGTCACTCCCATCATTCTAATGGTGATGTTAAAGGATCATGGTCTGGGCTGGTGGCCCATCGCATGCGTCGCTCCCTTGCGTTCCTTGGCGCTGGTCATTGGCCAGAATGTCATATCTTGCTGAGGGTGGCCATAAGGGGTGATGTGGCAATTCAGAGGTATGATTCTTTGGCTGCATGTTCCAATGCGATCATTGGAGGAGGTATGTTGAGGCATATCTCCAGAGCAGCTTGAGAGGTTGTTCTGAATGCACCAGCTATCCTGTAGAGGGCCTTGTGCTGGATAGATTCCATGGCTTTCTTAGCCGCATTTTCTGCCGCCTTGAAGCCCCATCCAGCCCGTATGAACCATGTGGAACTGGCAAATGTGATCTGCGGCCATAGGATGGCTGTGTACATTTGGCGGAGGTGGGTTAGAGTGATTCCCCATGTTGATCCTGCTATGGAGCACAGCACTGCTATCATTTCAGTGGCTTTAACTTGGGCATGTTCAATTTGTTTCATTCCAGTGAGGTGCTGGTCTAGCTGGATGCCAAGGTAGTGAAGGGTAGGCACAGGCTTAACCTCCACCCCCTGCACTTTGACTGAAGCATCAGTTGAGCTCAATGGTCTAGGGACGCCTCAGGCCTTTTGCCATAGGTGTATCAGGCCATATTTTGCTGGGGCAAACTTAGAGGCATGCTGGATCTCCCATCATTCTGCAATTCTGTGTATTTGCTCAAGATGTTGACAATTAGCTGCAGCAGCCCGGCTCCAGACAAGTATACATATATTGTCAATGTAGCCGGTGACCATTGCTCTTCCAGGGTAAGCCTCATGTATTTGGTCGATTAGATCTGCGTTGTAGAACAGGTAGAGTATTGGAGAGAGGGGTGAGCCTTGGGGTATGCCTGTATCTGTGGTAAACTGGCCTGTTGCACCCTCCATTAGTACAATATCTGTGCTGTGGTGGCATAGGAAGCTTGCTATCCAGTTGACAGCACTGCCTGGGATCCCTCATTTTTGGAGGTTATGGATCAAGCGTTTATGTGCAGCGTTGTCGAATGCGCTGCTGACATCCAGGGTAAGCAGTGTGGCTACCAATGCACCAGTACGCCAGGAGGCATGGACCTGTTCCAGCAGCAGGTGAATAGCATGCTCACATGATCACCCTCTGCGGCCACCAATATGGGTCTGTGGTAGGAGACTGTGCGCTTCAACCATATAGCTTATGCGGGTTGCAATGACTGCTTCTAATGCTTTTCCAATTGTGTTAAGCAGTGCAATGGGCCTGTATGCCTTTGGATCTGTGTAATCAGGTTTGCTGGGCTTCTGCAATACCACTGTAGTTGACTTTCAGAAGTGCTCTGGGCAGTATCCCAAATGCAGGCAAGCATTGAACAGATTAGTGAGATGGCCCAGGAAGACCGGAATGGCTAGAGCGCGGTGTAGTGTCAGATTTGGTATCCCATCAGGGCTGGGGGCCTTGTTTGGCGCAGCCTGCTGGACTGCCTGACAGACTTCTTTCTCTGTAATGGCAGGCATCTGTAGTGGTTCAGGGTATTCATAACCAGGGATGTCTGAGAGATCTGCTTCAGGAGGTGGGGGAAATAGTGTCTCCCACAGTGCCTGTGCTTTCCTTTCTGGAGTGTCATATGTTTGGTCCCCTGTATGAAGAGTTGGTGTGTAGGTTGGTTGGACACCCCAGCAGCGGCGTGCCCAACAGGCCAGTTTCCAGAAGCCTTCTATTGATTCAGTTGCATCCTCCACGCGGGTATGGTGATTGTCTCAGCTCAGTTTAGCGGTTTCTCGGCCCAGTGTATGCTTGGCCTGACAGAATGCCTTGATGTCTTCCTCCTGGCCAGAAGCGGCCCAGCATCGTGTGCAGTTAACATTGTTGCGTAGTCCCTTTAGTTCTGGGAGATATCCTGGGCGCATGTATGGTGTGATCCTGGATACAGGAACAGTGTTCTTTGCAGAGTGTTGGATGGTTTTAATCAGGTGGTCAACTGTGGCATCTATCTCCTCAGTGGTAGCTAGGGGGCATATAGGCTGGAGATTTGCGGCCATTGCTTTTAGGAAGATGTCCCAATCAGCTTCCAGCCATTGCATCTTTAGCTTTTCTGGGGACTTCTGTACAGGTATATCTAATTCTGTGAGAATTGGTACATGATCTGCTGCATGCATCCAGTCTCATCAGTGTTGGCAGCGCACTAGGAGATCTGTCACCTCAGTAGTTCCCCATGCCAGGTCAATTGTAGTCTGGTGGCGCCCCCTGCCTGTGTGCTTTTCATATGTAATCATGCCCGGCGGTGTAAGCAGTTCTAAGCCATGGTTCTCAGCTATCCAGATGAGATCATCTGCTTCTTCATGGCGGTGGTCATAGTCAAGTCAGTTCCACATTGGATGATGGAGGTTGAAGTCACCCACTACCACATGTTGTTGGCCAGGGTGTCCAGCCAGCGCGTTGTTCAATGTGTCAATGACGCTGGGTTGGCCTGTCACAGGGCTGGGATTATATGCGTTATGAATGTGTATGGGGCCTATTCTTGTGTGCAGGGTCAAGGTGCTCAGGTCCTTAGTATGATGCTGGATCGCCCACTTCATTGGATCTAGCGCCTTGCTAACAAAGAAGCATACCCATGGCATCCCAGCCACATTAGTGTCCTTGCTAGTAGGTTTGATCAGGAGGTGAAAGCAGTTTCCGAGCATTTGTGAATATGTGGTCACTTGGTCTGTGTGTCTGTTGATATAGGGCTCTTGGATAGCCAGGATCTCTAGGTCGCGCACCTCTTTCTCACCAAAGAGGTGTATCATCACTTTCTCACATGATTTCCAACAGTTGGCCTGCAGGATTCAAATTTGTTTAAGATCCATCATTGATTACAATTCTTCCTCCATTGGGTCTTCATTGGAGTGATACTGGCTTTGCTCATCATCAGACTCTTGACCATGGTGCTGATTATAGCTTTTGCATCAGTTTCAAGTCTGTCTGAGTGCTCTCAGAGCAGTGTCAGTGCTTGGGGCACTGAGAGCTCTTGCTCTAGTTCACTGGTGAGGGCCCTCTCTGGGCTGCAGAGTCTGGGTTTGGGCATTCATCTCATTTTCTGGTTGGGTATCCGCCATAACACTATTTAGTTCAGGCTCATCTTCTGTGCGAGGTCTTTTATTGCTCTTTCTGGGTCGGCCTGGGCCGCAGCATTGAGTGTGGTGCTTTGCAGCTTCTGCAGGGGTGGGGTCTTGGCCTTGTTCCTCCCCTGAGAGGCCTACAGAGCCAAGAGAGACTGGGGCACTCTCATACCATCCACATCCATGTGCTCTGTTATGACGTGCAGTCTCCACTCATTCCACATGAGCTGGACAGCTGCAGTCAAAGGCAAAGTGATCCTCTGAGGTCTTCTCACTTTGCTTAGTGTTCTGTTTTTGGCAGACTGCACATTGGGCTTTGGCACAGTCTCTTGCTGTAGGGCAGTCCTGAGAGGAATGGTTTTGTGCACAGTATGCACAGGAGGTAGGTCGCTTGCAGTTTCAGGCTATGTGGCCATATGCTTGGCAGTTGAAGCACTGCTGGATCTGATGAGTTTGGTCGTAGTATTCGCACGGGTGGTCGCGGCTGTCAATTGCCAGGCCAAGCAGTATGGCTATATTTGCAGCCCAGTCATTGTTGAACTCGACAATTAGCTTTGATGTTTCTGGTTTGTGTTCCGCGATATGTCGAGGACCAAGAAGCCACCCAGTGTACATGATCACTGTGGGGGCAGAGGCCAGGCGTCCTAAGTTATCCGCCTTAATGCGTGCTGGGGCAGCTGCTAGATCAAGCTTGCAGTTGACACTGTTCATAACAATGCAATAAGTTCTTCTTTTGATGGTTGCATTGTCTCCAAAGGTGAGGCACCAGTCTTTTGCCGCTCTGGCTAGTTGTTCCACATTTTCCAGGCTCTCTGTGCACAGGATAACATCCCCGCTGGGCAGGATGCGGCCTGTAGAGACTGACTGGTGGACAATTATAGCATTGTTTGATTCTTTAATGGCCCGGTTTGCCTGCTCCACAACCTTGGCCTCCTTCTGGTGGCGCAACGGGTCGACAATCTGGTGGTCTGTACCTCAGATATGGATCTCCAGGTCTGTTTTCAGTGGAAATGGGGTTGCTTGGTTGCTTGGAGAGGTGCTTAGTGTTCCATTTGTGCCAATGGATCCATTGGTATTGCCCTGCATCCAGTTCAAGACCAAAGAGGACTTTGTTGATGTCAGGTGACTTGCTAGAGCCGCATCCTGATAAGAGTTTGCATGGCCGGAGGGGTTAGATGCTGGGGGGCTATTGGTTGCTTTCAGGGACTGCATTGAGTACTGTAGAGCTTTCATTTCCTCTGTCTGCTTATCAAACATATCTTGGATTTGTTGGAGTACTTCTTTCTGGCCATCATGGTTTTCACTGCCATTGTTGCTGGCATGGTTGCGCACCTTTGCTGCAAGATCTTCAACTGAACTCATAAACTGGATGAATAGATCCCAGGGGGGTAGCCCCTGGGTCCGGTCAGCAATTTGCTTCAGCTCTGCTGTTTCTGTGAGAATGGCAGCTGCATGGGCGCCTTTGTTGTGGTCTTTATGATTGTATGAGCAGTTGGGCCACAGAGATGTGGCTCCGACCACCCCTTTCTTCTTTGCACCCCCCATTGTCAGCGACAACTGGGGAGAACGTCGTTGAAAGTAGTATCAATCAATTCCGCGTGAAGTTGAATATAGGATTCGAGTTTTCCGCAGTGCGGGAACTCGCTCAGAAGGTAGGGGGGGGGTCGCCACTGAGGAGTTGTTTTTTTCCCAGTTTTCAGGATTGTATTATATATATCCCACCTTAGACATTGTGAGATAACAGGAGGTTTGTTGAATATAATATCCAGAAATCTTTGCGGCACTTGCTGGATAATCACTGACTCAAGAAAAATGGTGTTTGTTGGCGGATATTATAGGAATATATATAATTCTATGCTGCAGATGTGGCTAGCTGAGGAATCTGCGCATACAGCTCATCATGCTTATGGGCCCAGCTTTGCCTCACCCAACTCATCTTTATCATGGGCAACTATTGGCAGAACCCATGACAATTGTTCAGCTGAAACCCCACACGAGTGGGGAATTGGCTGCACTTCAGTGAATTCCATGCGTGGTCATTCAGCCAGCCACTGGAGGTCCCATGTGATGAGCCACATAGTAATTGTCACGGCTCGATACTAGTAGATAAAACAAATACATAGTTACATATGTGCGCCGTGCTAGAGTGGCACAGCGAAGCCGCAAAATCCGCGCCAATCCGCGCCGAATGCAACTCTACGCCGTGCGGGGTAACTGGATACTGATCATCCCCCTTCCTAATAACACTACTTAACTAGTTTACAGCAACTCCAAGGCCAGCCCACAGGATCAAGTCAGTCAGTATTCAGGAGTTTCCAAGAAGCTGCCCAAACATGGCCAAACCGCACCAGAGCACCAGGCGTACAGGAAGGCAGGGTGCATGTGAAATGGGTCCCTGGGCATACAGGCATTGAAGGCAATGAAGAAGCCGACAAAGAAGCCAAGATGGGCTGCCATGGGCCCCTGAATCTCCCTATAGCACCTGCGTCAATAGCAGCTGCCAGACAAATAGCACAGAGGATGCACTGGCATGCCTTTGCACAGTTCTGGGCAGAAAAGGCCCCCAAACGATACAAGGACCTCAGGATAAGCCTGGAGAAGCGCCCCCCCCCAGAGCTCCTCCTTCCACGAACAGCCCTGGGCCGCCTCCTTGCCGCCAGGAGCGGACATGGTGACTTTGCAGAGTACCATGAACGCTTTAAACATGATGACGCCCTGCTGACATGCTCTTGCGGCCGCAGAAAGGAACCATCCCATTTCTATCATTGCAGGGAGGGCCGCAAAGCAGCAGCACATCCATGGGGCCGCCGGTCTGTGACTTATATCCTCTGCACAAAGGCTGGATACACTGCATTTGCAGGCTGGTTGGGAGAATCCAACTTCTATACAGATATCTGCCGACGACATTAGGCCATCAAAACTCACCAAATCCAGGGACATCCAGGCTTACCTCCGGTCTCCCTTCCTCTCTCTCTCTCCCCTTTCTTTCCCCTTTTTATTGTACCCCTTCCCTGCCCTTCTTGTTCGCGTTCATGCTTTTTGTTGCAAACCAATACGCGCAATTTCGCTGCTTTGACAGTCATGAAAACCCAAGCAGCCCCCCGCGCGGGGGGCTACCTGTATATAGATGATAGATGGTAGTTTAGCTAGGTGACAGGCAGTCTCGATCTGCCCGTCGTATGTCCCGCACCGGGACCAGGGCTTTTCCGCTTCCGAGGTTCCCAAGGATGCGTGGAAAGACCCGAACCTCGACGTAAAATAGACACACACACACACACACACACACACACTACTTAACTAGTTATACGACATCCGCAGCCTATGACAGGATGGTTGTGTGAGTCTGCTACGACACTAAAATAACACTTAACGTAATCTATCACCGAAAGGCGCATATCACCGAGAGGCGCGCCTCTGTATCCCATACAAAAATGGCAGTTGTTATAACCACCATATTTCAACCATTAATGGATATAGAGAATGATCCATGGAATAAGAATATATATCAATGCCTCAAAAGAATATATATAGTTTTCTTTCATCTTTTACATGTTCTTGTACCTGTCAATACTAGTATATCAGAAAATACAAAATAATACAGTAGTAATTTATGTTACCTAAAGAAATATCAGTCTGGAGTAGTTGTACTCTTGGTCCATACCAGCTGAATACTGTAGTAACCTGTATACAAGATTGTAATATTTGTAGATGTTTCGCAGTTGAGATATTGTAGTGTTAAAAACTACTATTTTGTATGGAATACCGAGGCGCGCCTCTCGGTGATATGCGCCTTTCGGTGATAGATTACGGTAATGATTCTAGAGTAGCAATGAATGAGTAATCTGTAGCTCTGTAGCTCAATACACAGATTCCTGACAGATTGTAACTAAGTTCGTATGTGTCAAGTTTCATAACGTAATCCACAAGCGAGTGACGCACCCGCCCCCCATATATACTAGTATTTAAATCCATTTATTTCTGTTTTAATTGATGAGGATTGCTTTTGTAATTGCATGTGGTTTCAAGGTGTTTTTGGCTCCCAATCACTACCCTGGCTTCTGGGGAGGGGGGTTGGCGTACGAAGCTGAATATTGAGCTTTGAAAGCAACCGATCAGGGTCAAAAGACAATAAACCAGCTGCTGTGAAGCTATTTTTGATAGTATCAGGTTTGAAAGCTTCAATTCGTGCATGTGGGTAGGCCTCAAGGAAGTCTAATTTGTCGATATGGTTGACCCCAAGGCGCATTTTGGTTTCAACAAGATGACCATATGCTCGCTTTAACACTGCAAAACAGCCAATATCAAGTGGCTGTAAAAGATGTGATGAATGTGCTGGCATGCAGATTGGAATGATATCATTTTGATTGCAAATTTGATCAAATTTTGGTGTTAAATGGCTACCATGGCCATCGAGGATCAAAAGCCGATTAAAATGTGCAAAAGCCAAGCCTGCAATCTTACCTCACAAAACCGACCGCTTCGATTTAGTGATGCCATAGAATAGCAAAATGTCTCTATTTTACAACTATGATCCATTTTACAAGTGATATTTACTGCCTATCACTGCCCTGTGAGGTTAAGACCAGTGACTGCCAGCCTCAGGCCACCAGGTTGAAACACGAGCCTGAGACGATCATCGATGAGGTATTTCTGCCATTGGATACTTGTGACCGGGCGCAATACCTGCAGTTACCAGGCAGAAGCGGAGAAGTCTATTGGGGGTCTAAAATGGTTCAAGCTTTACATGTTCCGCTCGGCACCCGCCGCGGCCCCCTGTATGCAATTTTTACAGCTAAATTTATGGGGCACTCAGCTGAGGAACTCTCCGTCGATTGGTTCATTCACATACCAAAATCCCTCCCCTGAGGCCCAGTATTGAACTCTCTGTGCCTCGAGTCTTCTTTCTTTATATTTTTATACCCTTTGTCATCCACTTGCAGCTAACTACCCGAGAAGTCATATCTGAAGTACGGAAGTTCTCCATGCAACAATGACAACACATTTCTCGTACTCGGCACTAGGTAATCAGCCTGGAGTAGACAGTAACCACAGCAGTCCTGACCGGCACACGTCCCAGACGGCTACTCTCCCAACAAAACCCACTCACCGAGAACAACGAGCATCAGAACCGGATCAAAAGGCCCATCGAGGCAGCTCCATTGCATCGAAAGCTCCACTAGAGCCCGCCGAAAGCCACAGTCAGTACGCCCATATTCCCCAATCCACAGCCGTCTTTAGCCCTGCTCGATCTCACTGAATCTTCGCCACCATCAGAGTCAAAAGAGGCAAACTTCCAAGATGGAACGAAGAAAGTCAAACGGCTTGACTGGGCTCGCTCCTGGCTCTGGGAGATTGGAGGTGCTATAGTCAGTGTCATCTGCATCGTGCTCCTGATCGGATTCCTCAAATACGTGGATGGAAAGCTCTACGATGACTGGGAATACCGAGTATCGCCCAATGCAGTCGCATCCGTGATTGTTACCATTGCAAAAGCAGCCATGCTTATACCGGTCTCAGCGTGTCTCAGCCAGCTGAAATGGAACCAAAGTCAACATCCGAATCCAACTCCCCTCTATCATATGCAGGTATTAGACCAAGCTAGCCGTGGTCCCTGGGGCTCTTTGGAAATCTTTTGGAGACTGAGGCCAGGTTTGGCGACGGTGGGAGCATTTCTGATGATCCTATCTGTCGCTATCGATCCGTTTGCGCAGCAGATTCTCTCTTTCCCTTCAAATCGACTGCTGGCTCCAAATGAAACAGCATATACTCAGACTACACACCAATATTGGCCTCGATGGGCAACCAGTGTATTGAACAATGTTCAGAACGAGCTTTCTGTCAGTGAAGTCGAGCCAAGGATGCAGGTTGCAATTTTCAGTGGCCTATCCCAAACAAATAACCGCCTGGAGCCAATTTGCTCCTCAGGGAGTTGCGACTATGATGACTTTATCACCCTTGGCATCTGTAGTGAGTGTGAAGACGTCACGGCCAAGGCAACTCAGACCTGCGTGCCATCTGCACCTCGCTCCAATGGTAATATTGGCGACGAATGGTCATCAACCCCTACCAATTGCACCTACACGGCACCAAGTGGCTTTAATCTTACTCCTGGCATCATGTGGAATACAATGGACACTTCAAAAGTTGTGAAATGGATATCAATGCCCCGTCAGCCTTGGACGTCTATCATAACGTCTGATACAAGCGACGATGGAACCCCAAAACCGATTGTATCTTTCTTTGCAGCCAAGTATGAGCAAGACCTGATATATTACCACCACAATATCACTGTGCCGGAACAAAAGCCCACCATGACAGAGTGCTCAGTCTACTGGTGTGAAAGGCAGTATACACAGAATTACTTCTCCACCGGTCATCGATTCCTCGAGACTAAGACGAGTCAGAACCTCTATGTCCAAGCCCAGGTCCAGAGCAAAGTAGACTTTTGGACTCGCTGGTTGAGCCCATTCAGTGGGAGCAAAACCCTATCGGAAAATTCAACTTACATTATCTCCTCAACCACCTGGATCCCCATGCGACGAATGATGATCAAACTCTTCAATGGCACTCTTATAGTGAATGAGGAGGGAGATGACGCAGATGACGCCAAATCTTTTTCAGGAATTCAATCCTCTCTGATTTTATACAACAGCAACAACCTGACCCAATCAATGGTTGAAATGGCCACCAGTATGACTGATAACATCCGCTCCAGCCATATGGCTTCCCGTGTCAATGGACGGGCATACCTCAATAGCACACTAATTCATGTTCGCTGGCCGTGGATTATTCTTCCAGCTGCCTCTGTGGTTCTGTCTATTGTGCTTCTCATGGCTACGGCTGTCTCAAGTAGGAGGTTACATACCATCTTGTGGAAGTCTTCTGTATTGCCATTGCTTGTCAGTCAGCTTGAAAACCTCCCCGGCCATGATCTGAGCCGTGCGGGCGATGTGGATGAGATGCTGGATATGTCGCGGAAGATCAAAGTTGTGATGGCGAGTCAGGACCCTCCTGTCCTTGTTGAACATTAGAATATACATTTATCTTTCAATATTACTTTTTTGAGTTGAATTTGAATTTGATGGTTCCTGTTTTACTTTTATTTCACATTATGGTCAGTCCCATTTCACTTTCATTCATCGTAATTGGTATCATTGCTTCAGCCATTCTTTCATTACTCGTGGTTTATGCCCTCGATTATACATCCTTCTCTTGCAGTGGCATTGTGACGGCTCCCTCAACGGCTCAACGCCGCCTCAGTGGCTGATATCGATAAACACCGCCATGCAAGCAAACAAAGGAAGCACTTGGCGCGGCCACAGAACCCATGGATAAAAACCCCTTTTTCCTGTAGATAGATTCCTTTTCTTCTTTTCTCTACAGATTCGATATTCTCGTCGATGGCTACAATAGTTTAGATAGGAATTCAGTTCGTTAATATCTACTATTCCGAGAAAAAAAAAAAAAAAAAAAAAAAAAAAAAACTCCCCAGTGACGACCCCTCACCCTACCTTCTGAGAGGGTTCTCGTACTGTGGAAAACTCGAATATTGTATTTAACTTCGCTCTGAATTGATTCTACTTTCAACGTTGTACTCCCCATTTGTCGCCAACAATGGGGGGGGGGGGGGGCAAAGAAGAAAGGAGTGGTCAGAGCCGCATCTCTGTGGCCAGATCACTCATACAATCACCAAGACCACAACCAACGCGCCCAAACAGCTGCCATACTCTCAGAAACAGTAGAGCTGAAGCAGATTGCTGACAGGGCCCAGGGGATGCCCCCTCCCAGGGATTTATTCATCTGATTTATGAGTTCAGTTGAAGACCTCGCAGCAAAGGTACGTGACCGCGCTGGCAGCAACAGCAATGAAGGCCATAGTGGCCAGAACAAGGCTCTCCAACAGATCCAAGACATGTTCAATAAGCAGACAGAGGAGATCAAGGCTTTTCAGCACTCAATGTAGTTCTAAAGTAACCAACAGCTCCTCAGCGTCCCGTCCCTCTAGCCACGCCAGATCATACCAGGATGCAGCTCTGGCAAGTCACCTGACATCAACAGAGCCATCCATGGTCGCTGGCTGGATGCAGAGCGCTATCAATGGCTCTGTTGGCACAAACGGGGTGCTGAGCACTTCCCCAAGCAACCCGGCAACGCCATTCCCGCTAAAAGAAGACCTCGAGATCCATATCTGAGACACTGATCACCAGATCGTGAACCCCTTGCGCCACCATAAGGAAGCCAAGGTTGTAGAACGAGCCAACCGCGCCATTAAGGAATCAAATAACTGCCAAGCATATGGCCACATAGCCTGATATTGCAAACGACCTACCTCCTGTGCATACTGTGCACAGGGCCATTCCTCCCAGGAATGCCCTACAGCAAGAGACCGTGCTAGAGCTCAGTGCGCTGTCTGCCAGAAGCAAAATGTTAAGCAAAGCAACAAAGTCCCAGAAGGTCACTTCGCCTTTGACCGCAGCTACCCAGCCCATATGGAACGGGTGGAGGCTGCACGTCACAACCGCGTGGCTGGGCACGGATGGTATGAGGGCGCCCCTATGCCTCTTAACTCTGATCCTCCTTCAGTAGAAGAGCGAGGGCGGGACCCTACTCCTGCAGAGGCCGCAGAGCACCCTGCCCAACAGACACAGGCGAGGGTAAGCAACCAGTCTAAATCCCGATCCCGAGCAACCTCTACCCGACTCCGCAAGCCAGACCGGCAGGGCAATAAGCGACCCCGCACAGAGGAGGACTCCGAACCAAATAGTGCTATGGCAGACACCCAGCCAGAATTTAGCCAGGGCCCACCACTAGTAGAGATTGACACCAATGCCCAGACCATGCAGGCTACAGAAGGCCCATGCCGGCGGTCTAAACCAAGTGTTGACTTCCATATACGCTGAAGACTGATTGATATGATCGCTGCTTCGACTAACTAGTCAGAGCCCGACCTGCCCACCTATTTACGACATACTTCCTGCCCATGCCTAATCGTATCCACAGAGGATATGATAGAGAGATGATAGGACCGGGGGACTACGGCTATGCAGCCAGCATCCTTTGACTATGGCCACTGCATACATGCATTATGCACTTTGTACTCCTTTTGTCTCTTTGAACTTCTT